AGTGCGGGCGGGTTGCCTACTCGCCCTGCCCGTAGGCGCCGTGGACAGGGGCGATAGGCAAGCCCGCCCGCACTCCTGCGAGCGGTACAGTCTATCTACAGAAGTGCGCGGGGTCAATCAGCCACCTGGTATATTAATAACCCCATTGAAACAACTTCACAATAGTTCAACGAGGGGTGGATAACTCCCCTGCTAAGTGTACACCCCTAATTCTGCCCAATTCAAACTAATTCAAACCAATTCGATTGAATTCAACACAATTCAGAAATAATTCAAACCAATCCAAAAATATTTTCAATTCAGTCCAATTCCAGACAATTCAAGACAATTCACGCTAATTCATTGAAATAAAATCGCAATTATTCAAACCAATTCAAAAACAATTCAACCAATTCAGTCCAATTCAAATTCAATCCAAGCCAATTCAAATCCAACTCATGAAAATTGTACACCTAATTCAGGAGTTATCTTCTCCTCTGTTTAAGCATCTATTGGAAAATGAATACAAAACCACTTGGTTTGCACTCGGTTGCCGAGCCGGGAGGGCCGAGAAGGCCGGCGGCGCCCTAGGCGGCACTGGCACAGGGGCGGGTGCGCCACAAGCCTGCCGAACCGGGGGCCGCCGGGTGCTGCCAGTGTAGGTCACCATCGTAAAACCGCCGAGGATAAAAGTTGGTCGGCCGCGCGGCTCTGCTCGGCTCTGCTCGGCTCGGCTCGACGCAGCGCTGCGCGCGAGTTTCGGAAACACAAACACAGCAGCCGGCGAAAATTCAGTCGTTTCGACTTTCCAGATATGCCGAGGGACTTACTAGGGGTTGGGACCAGCCAGGTGAAGCAGGAGGGGAAGGGGGGACGGGGTGGAAGAAGACGGAGGGCCCCAGAGAGTGTGCACTGCTGCTATGCTGTTGGCTTACCCCTCGAAAAAAAAAAATTGCAAAAAGTTTAGAGCAACTACGTAAGCTTCCCACTTTCCCTCCCGCAATCTGTGAAATGTAGCCATATTATAATTTGTTTTCTGTGAAAGGCCATTACCAAATCATGACTGGTAGTGGTCTAATGCTATTCTCATTAAATTTGAAACAGATCTGCGCTTTTTTAATAATAAATTGCTAGTGAAAAAGCCTACTCTGACATTTTCATTGAAAAAGCCTAGCATCTATTGCCAGAAAATGGAGCTTAAATAAGAGCCAGAACTCAAACTAACTCTAATATGTTAATACTTGGTGATTAATTATCATACAAAGAGTATTATCTCCTGCTAGAAACTTGATGCTTCTTGTTAAATATACCAGTTTGGTTTATTTTTCTATTTTTGTCGGTTCAAGAAACATTGATTAACAATATTAATTTCATAAGTAAAAGTTTTGAATAAAAAATTGGATTTGGGGTGTGAAAATGATAAGTTACGCATCCATCTCCTTCTGGTAGCATAGATTATTCTGAATACTTTTTGTTAAGGTTCAGGTAACCAAATGAACGTTCATAAATTGTTTGGTGTTCCAAGGGATTGTATTCCTTAAGACAATATTGATTATTAGTGAGTTGCATAGAAATATCCTTTAGAGCATGGTTTAATCTATAAATGTGTGTGCATATTTGTTTTCATCTGTTTGTTCCAGAGGATGCTCCTTAAAACCAAGAAAAGGTAACATAATGAAGAAAAATAGTGTTCGCGATTCCTTTTTGACAAAGTTCGACTGACATTAGAACTGTCAGTGTTTGTTTCGTGGAGGGGTTAATCAACGTAAAATGTCATCAGGGATGATATTAAGTATATTTTACAATAGTTATATATGATAGTTGCTGCCAAGACTAAAACATTATCCCACCTCACTTATTCGAGCAAAACTATATGACACTAAATAAGGTTATGTTGCCCAGTATCTGTAAACAAGACCATAACCTCCACACTTTTGAAGGCCACAAAATGCATGAGATTTATACTTTCAAGAACACTGCAGAGAGTAAATAAAACTAAATAAATAATAAATGTGACTCAAGTACAAAGAAATAAAAAGAAAAGACCTGGAATTAATTTACAGAAATTGTAATCATAAGTACAACAGCAACTTTTTAATCAAAAATCTCCAAACAAATCTGCTACCGCAAGCAGAAGAAAATAAAATATATCAACCAATCAACAATGACATTTGTACGAATTAAAATAAACTTCATACTCAAATACATAACAGACTTAAAAGTTGTGAGTAACTAATGTTGCTACAGCATCTAGATCTTATTAGTTTAGATGTTATGATTGTTCTGTCTGATTTCTTTCATATAGACAACATGAGTTTGACTTTAAAGCACATCACTAGCTTAATATGCAGTATCAACTTATCTAGTAGGAATTAAAAGATAAAAAAAATTAGAAGAGTAACTTACCTAAACTTTCTTCCAGGTACTCTGGCCAGGTTCCCGAGTAGAGATTAAAGATGACATGATTGCGGCCATTATTCCAAAGTCTTAATCTCTGAGTGCGAGCCTGCACGTTTCTCACGTAGTTCTGAGACAGTGAATCTCTGTCCAGGGTATCAATAGCCAAGACAAACAGACATGCTTGCCCTGGGTCAGAAGTATAATATCTTGATTCTATGATGACATTGAGCAGTTTTTGGTAAGATGGACTCTGAGGTGGTACTGGTAACTCTCCATCAACTTCACTATCACTATCACTTGCGAAAGGGTATACGTAAACTTTGAAGTCTGTTCGACACCTTTCAAAATCAAAGCACGTCTCCATCCGGCACTTGCTGTAGTTGTCACCATGGAACTCTCCCATTCGACGGATGTGGGGTGAAGAGTCCACATCACTATCGTACAGTTGATCACTCACATCCAAAAAGTGGGAGAGTTCCTGTCTGACTGGAGTGACACCACTTTTGCTCTTCAACCGATAGCCACCAAAATAACAGTAGGCTAGGAATGCACAGGACAGGAGTACTAAAAGATATCGTTTTTTGGCCTGCATTTTGGCCGGAGGGCCCTGCTGGCCCGGGCGGGGATCTCACAAACAGCACCCAAACATCTCCCCCCAACCTAACCTCACTTCCATCTTGTTGACAGCCGCATTCGGCTCACTTCCCCGCCTTCCCATGGCACTCCCAGAGTCACACAGGACGCAGGACATCGCGTCTCCTCATCCCGGAACACTCGGGGGGTAGGCACGCGGCCCTGCGCGGCAGACGCGAGTCGCGGAGGCGAGGGGCGACCGAGAACACAATCGCGCAAACACTTCGACGACTCGCTCGCGAGCGTCGCGGCGCCGGCGGACGGGCGGACCACTAGCAGACGACACTACGCGCGGTAAACACAGCCGCAGCGCGGACCTAACTGACGGCGCGGCCACGGCCTCGGCCGGCGAGGGCGGAGGGGGAGGGGGCGGGGAGGCACCAGTGGCGCCACCGGCGGCGCCCGCAAGGACCAGAGGCGCCGCGTCAGAGCGGGGGCGGGCGATTCGAAACGGCTTCGACAGTCGACGCCAGTGGGTGCGGCGCCTCGCCGTGAGTGAAACAGGACGTCGAGCGAAGACAAGTAGAAACGTTGAATTCGCTGTCAAATTTTCGGAAGGTACATTTATTGCCCAATTCTTCAGATCCACAAGCTGCATCGAGAGATGCACACCCAAGACGCTCCTGCTCCTCACCCCCCACCCGGGCCCCGCACCCACCGCCGGCTGCAGGCGGGGAGCGCCTGTGGAGTCGGGGGTAGGCAGCCTATCCGACACGGGTGACGGGCTGAGCTGCAGGGGGGCTGGGGGCCTGAGCGCCGCGTCGTGCGTGTGGGGCTGGTGATTGCGCTGATTGTGTTCTGTTCACACCACTCGGGGCGCACACCGCCGAGAGGTGTAGCGACT